GTATGTTTATCTCCTAATCACCAGAACCTATAAATATTACCTTATGTTGAAGAACAGTGAATATTATTTTATATGGCAAAATAAGTGATTGAGTTAAGGATCTTGAGACAAGGAGATTATCCTGGATTATCCAGGGGGGGTCCAGAATGCTATAATAAATATCATTATAAGAGAGAGGTAAAGGGAGGTTAGACACAGAGAAAAAGGTGATGGAAAGATGGAGGCAGAGATTGGAGTGATATGGCCTCGAGCCCAAGGAACACCGAGGCATGACCAGCAAGCAGCTCCAGGAGATGGAAGAGACAAGAAACAGGGTCTGTACCCCAGAGTCTCTGGAGGGAACACAGCCCTGACAACACCTTGAGTTCAGACTTCTGGCCTCTAAAATTGTGAGAGAATAAATTTCTGTTGTGTTTAAGACACAAGTTTGTGGTAATTTGTTATAGAAGCCAAAAGAAACTAATACAAAGAACTTCAGGGACCTGTGCAACTATAGAAAAGATGTAATGTTCATGTCATTGAAGTCCCAAAGAGGATGGGGCTGAAAAAGTACTTGAAAAGGTAGTGGCTGAGAACTTCCCAGTTTTGGCAAGAGATGTAAACCTACAGATTCAAGAAGCTGATCAAAATGAAAACAGGATAAGCCCAAAGAAATCCATTCAAAACCATGTCACATTAAACTTCCCAAACACAAAGGCAAAAGATTTGAAAGCAGAGAAAAATGACATCTTACCTATAGGAGAAAATTTAAATGACAGTGGATTTCTTATGAGTAATAATGGAGACCAGAAGGAATTGACATAGTATTTTTAAATAACTGAAAGAAAGGAACTGTCAAGCCAGAATCCTATACTTGGTGAAAATATCCTTCTGGAGTAAAGGAGAAAATCAAGACACCCTCGGATGAGTAAGACATAGAATTTGTCACTAGGAAACCTACCTTTAAAAAATGGCAAAAGAAAAAAAAATTTAAAAAAAAATGGCAAAAGGAATTTCTCTAAATAGAAGAATCAGGAAAGAAGAAGGAATATGGGTAAATCCAATAAGCTTCCTTCTCTTGATTTTTCTAAGTTACGTTTAACTGTTGAAGCAAAAATTATAACATTGTCTAATGTGGTGCTAAATACATTTAGAGGAAATATGTAAAAGAATTATAAATGGGGAGGGTAAAGGATTTAAGGGAAGTAAGGTTTCTATATTTCACTCAAGCTGGTAAAATGATGACACCAATAGAACGTGCTAAGTTGTGTCTATATGATATGAAACCTAGAGCAACTACTAAAAAAGCTATACAAAGAGATACACCAAAAATGTTATAGATAAAATACAATTTAAAAAACATTCAAGTAACCTACAAGAAGGCAAGAGAAGAAAACAGAGATGAAAAAACCAAATATGAAATGGCAAAATTATAGAAGCAGAGAACAGAGTCCTGGTTGCCAGTAGTTAATGAGAAGATGGGAGTGAGCAGGAAGTGGGTGTGTTCATAAAAGGGATTGTAGTGGTGGAAATGTTGTGTATCTTGACTGTAGCAATGTAAATATTCCAGTTGTGACATTGTACTATAGTTCTGCAACATATTACTATTAGTGGAAACTTGGTAAAGAGTAAATGAGATCTCTGCATTATTTCTTACACTGCATATGAATCTACAATTATATTAAAATAAAATTTAATTTAAAAAACCAAAAGAAGTATAGTGTTTTGTGATATGAGAAGGCTATATTGAATTCGAACTTCAGTGTCCAGAAATCAAGCTTTATTAGAACACAACAAGTTGGTTCTCAACTAAGAAAACCTACCTTAAGATCAGTTGAATAGAATTAGATTAATTTGATCTGCAATCTGAATTCCCCCTTGTCATGTAACATAATAAATTCACACGTTCTGGAGATTAGGTGAGGAGTAAACATCTTGGGGGAGGGGGTGTCATTATTCTGCCTACCACAGGTAGTATGCTATCAGCACCTGTCAGTCATTCCATAGCAGTACATCATGATTTCTCATTTCTTTTTATAGCTGCCTAGGTAGTTATGCCACAGTTTAGTCAATCAGTCACCTATTGATGGACATTAGGTTTGTTTCCAGTCTTTTAGCTTGAATACTTGAACGAATAACCTTGTATGCATGTCATTTCATATATTTGTTAATGTCTTTGGGATGGATTTCTATAAGTGGTATTGCAGGGACAAAGGGTAAACTTATGTAAGTGCTTTTGCTACATTTTCTTATTTTTCCAAATAGGGGTTGTATTATTTTGTGTTCCCACTGAGAATGTATAAGAGTTCCTCTTTCCTCATAAATAGAGTATATTGTCAAACTTCTGGATTTGAGCCAATCAGATAAAATGACTAATGGCACCTCGGTGTAGTTTTTAGTTTGTATGTTTATATTTTGAATGAAGCTGAGCATCTTTACAGACATTTGAGGGCTGCTACAACTTCTTATTCTGTCAACTGTTCATTTCTTTTGCCCATTTTATCCATTGGGTTATTGGCTATTTTCTTTTTAGGAAATATTTTAGGAATCCTTTGTATATTAGGGATATTAGTCCTTTGTGATATGTTGCAAACATTTTTCCAGCGTGTCATTTGTCTTCTGACTTTTCTTTATGGTGTTTTTTGATGACCAATTCATTTTATTTTTATTTAGTCAGATTTATCTGATTAAATTTAATTTTTTATTGCTTTTGGAAATTGAGGCATTATTAGGCAAGATTTCCCTGTTCCCAGGGAATTAGAATTATTATTCATGTTTCTTCTAATACATGTATAGGTACATTTTTTTACATTTGGTTTTTGGATCCATTTGGAATTTATCCTGACTGTGCCGTGTGATGGGAGATATTAATTCAATTTTATTTTTGACCAAATGGCTATCAGTTGTCCCAACACAACTTATTTACATGTCTGTCATTTCCCCTGTTAACTTGAGATGCCACCATCATTTACTAAATATCCATAGGTACCTAGGTCTATTTCTGTGTTTACACAATATCACACTCCTAATTATAGAGGCTTTATAACATGTGCTAATATCCGATTAGGCTGTCCCTCACCATTGTTCTTTTTTCAGAGGGTATTGTGGCTATTCTTATTTTCCCATATCAACTTTATAATCAACTTGTCTAATTCTAGAACAATATGTGTTGATACTTTTATTTTAGAAGACTGACTTCTTCAGTGAGTCTTTCGAGCCAAAACTCTTATTAGTCTTGTTGGCATATAGCTTTCTATTTGTCTAAGTATACACTTGGCCTTTCAGGAGGTTTTCCCCATACAGGTTTTGCATATTTTTTCGTAAGCTTATTCCCAATTATTCTTTCTTTCTTTCTTCTTGTTTTTTGTTTTGTTTGTTTGCTTGCTTTTTGGTTGTTGCTATTGTAAATTCGGTATTCTCTTCCAATATATCTTGTAACTTTATCACTGGTTATTTGCATATAGGAAGGCTCTTGATTTTAGTGTATTAATTTTATATCTTGCTACTTTACTAAATGATATTTTAGTTTTCCCATTGAACCCTATGGGTTTTCAGATGTATAATCATTATCGTCAGCGCATAAGAGAGAACCGAAGAAGGTGAAAAAGCAGGCAGAAAGCACCAGGTTGACCCTTGAGAAGTGTGTGTGGAAGAGGTCCCTTCCTGAGTCGGGAAGGACCTCGGGAAAACATCCTTTTGAGGCATCTTGAACATCAAAGGTGCAGAAACCCAAATAAAAGTGAGAGTGGAAAAAGCATGGGATTTCCCTAGCACAGGTAGGCTCGCCAAGCCTCGACCGCCCATCGGGTCGGGGGAAGTGGAGATACTAGCCAGCCGAAGAGGAGCAGGAGAAAACAATATCGCGAAACCGCGGGCCTGTGAGTCTTCAGCTGTCCTCTCACATGGGCGCGCGGGAGATCTACCGATTTGCGAGCCCCTCCCGCCCCCTTCCTAGAGCGGCGGCGGAAGTGAACCGGTCTTCCGCACTTCGCGGCCGCTTCCGGCCTCTATGGGTCGCTACTGGTGGGTTCCGGTTTCGAAGCAGTTCGAGGCATCAGCCTCTTGTTCCCGGAGAGAAACCGCTGCTGGCGTCCTGGGGCTGCGGGTGAGCGGTCCTGTGCTGCGGACGCGGCAGGCAGGGGTGCTTCGGCCTTCTCGGCCCCGGCTGGAGTGGGGCGGCCTCCGGGCCTCACTTGCCTAGGTGGATCCGCGAGAAGCTCCTTGACGCAGCAGCTAGCCCCGACCCCCAATCCCTCGGAGAGTGGGTCGGAGCCCGGGGATGAAGGAGCGACCCGGCTGTGCGCTCCATCCCTCCCGGGCTTGTCTCGCGCGGTGTACCCTTCTTGAATTATGCGCCTTCTGACATTTCTGAACAGTCTTGGTTCACAGACGCTGACTGGCGTCCTAGGGCCTCTTTCCTGGGCCTGCCTTTAGATTTAAAATCACAGAACGCGAGGGTAGAAGAAAGTCTTAAAGACCAATGTCTCCAGCCTTTTCGCTTGATAAATGAAGAATGAGGAGCAGAGAGATTAGGCCCCTGAAAGAATAAATTCATGTGACTTTGCCGCTTTTATGACTAAACGATTTCCACCAGACATCTGGGTATTTAAAAAATTTAAAAAGCAGCTAATCAAGGATGTCTCAACTTTTTATTATTATTTGTTTGCCGTAAATGTTTGTTTATTCCGTTTAATTGTTCTTTTTTCTATCATCAAGTGGAAATGTTTCCTACGAAGTCTTATTCTTCTTTCTTAGAGTCCTGAAACAACTTAGCACCTTTTACTTAATATTTCTCTTTAAATTAGTCTATTCTTGAGTCTTTTTTATCAGAGTGTTTTCCTGCATATAGAAAATTAACCTGGAGGCGGCTTTCAAAATGCATTTTTAAATTCTTAGAATTTTCAGTTTTTGTTTTTGGCGTAGTTTGTGTTAATGATGATGGCTTCTTCTTCAGTTCCAGCCAGAAAGAGACGGCACAGGAGATCTTGCTTGAAGCATTCATAAGCTTTTGCACAGCTATGATGGCATCTACTTGGTCCATCCAGGCCAACAAGGACCAGGATGAGCTTTTGGAAATAAAGATAGAGGAAGAGGAGGTGGGGGAGGAAAAGAAGTGTACCGCCAGACAGGATCAGAACGTGCAAAAGAACACCACCCACAGCAGGGAGGTCTTCCGACAGTACTTCAGGCAGTTCTGCTACCAGGAAACATCTGGACCCCGTGAGGCTTTGAACCAACTCCGAGAACTTTGCCATCAGTGGCTGAGGCCAGAGACCCACACAAAAGAGCAGATTCTGGAACTGCTGGTGTTGGAGCAATTCCTAACCATCCTGCCCGAGGAGCTCCAAGCTTGGGTCCAGGAACAGCATCCACAGAGTGGGGAAGAGGTGGTGACTGTGCTGGAGGATTTAGAGAGAGAGTTGGATGAGCCAGGATATCAGGTGAGAACAAAGATGTGGTTTCTGTTTGAGAAAAGATGAACTAGGGATTTCTAGGCCAGAATGAAGTCTAACATTATTTCACAAAACGTATTCTCGACACTTTGGTGCATCAGAAAGGGGCCTGAGTGTCGTAGAACATTGGTTAACATAATCCTAACTTATTTATGTGTTTTCTGTAGAAGGATCATGTATTTCTCCATTAAGCTACAAAATTCTGTTTGATGAAATGCTGCCCAGAAACATTAGAAACAGAAGACTTGTAGGGCAGAGAGAAAATGTTAGAAAGATGATGGTAACAAGGTGGGCAGCAGCCTCTTGAAAGGGGCATCACTTCTGCTGAACAATACAAATAATTAAGAAATAAAGTTTTGCAGATATATCCACTGCCTTGTCTCCAATAAAAGATTAAAAGATAGGGGCTTCCCTGGTGGCGCAGTGGTTGAGAGTCCGCCTGCTGATGCATGGGACACGGGTTCGTGCCCCGGTCCGGGAAGATCCCACATGCCGCGGAGCAGCTGGGCCTGTGAGTGATGGCCACTGGGCCTGCGCGTCTGGAGCCTGTGCTCCACAATGGGAGAGGCCACAACAGTGAGAGGCCTGCGTACCGCAAAAAAAAAAAGGATTAAAAGATGGAGACATCAAAGTCACCATCTCAGAGGAATGAGATGTAGGAGCAGAGTGGAAAGTTAGGAGGGAGGGGCAGGTCATGGGACCCATGTTTCTTTGAGTAGTTGAAAGCCCAGTTAAGTTGGAAAGGTGAGATGTGAGTAGAAGAGTTGAGCACAGAGTCCAGGACCTTGAATACCAACCTCTTGAGTTTAGACTTTATTCTGTAGGACAGAAGCTCCTAATCTGTTTTCTCTGAGTCTAAATGAATTTTACTAACGCCAAGATATAAAAAAAGAACCAAATTATGTAGGACTATTTTGGTTTGTTTTAGCGTTGATAAAAGACAGTGGTTTTCACCCGGTGACAATTTTGTACCGCAGAGGGCATTTGGCAGTGTCGTGGAACATTTTTGGTTGTCTTAACGGCGGGAGGTACTACTGGCATCTAGTGGCTAAAGGACAGGGATGCTGCTAGATATCTCACAGTGGAAAGAACAGCCTTATACAACAAAAAATTATTTGATCCAGTATGTCAATAGAATCAAGGCTAAGAAAGCTTGGTATAGAGAGTATAAACGGTGAAATAATAAAAAGGAAATATAATCTAGCATTGAAGTACAAAGACTGAAGAGGAAAGGAGCATGTGGCAGAAAGATCTGAGTTTAAAATAGGGTCATGAAAGTGTGACTGTGAAGGAAGAGGCATGTTTTAGGTAAGAATTAATTGAAAATGATGACAGAGTAGAGGTATAAAGAAGGAAGAAAGAATGGAGAACTCTTTATTGAGCAGTCTAGTCTAGGCTAAACAGTAGGGATTTCAAGGTTGAAAGATGAGCATAATGGAGACACTTCTAACAGAGTTCAAGATTGTAGGCGAAGGTGGATTGGGAAAAGTTCATTCATTCAGCAGATATTTATTGACTATCTGTTGTTTACTAGGCACTGGGAATGCACCAGTGAACAAAGTGTAGAGGGTTGCTGCTCTTACATTGATAGATTTTAGTCTACTGAGAGGACACAGTAAACAAAAAATCAACAAATGTATAATACATCAGGTGGTCATAAATTCTATATTTAAAGAAGCAACAGTAAAGCAGAGAAAAGGAATAGTGGAAGAAGTGAAGATTGTGTTGTTTTCAATAGACTGGTCAGGGAAGGATTTTCAGATAGGGTGACATTTAGAGCAGAGATCTGAATTAAAAGAGCAAGCCATGCAGCCATCTAGGATAAGAGTGTTCAGGCAGGGGAAATATCAGTAGTAAATGGATAGGTCCTAAGGTGAGAATGTGCTTGTCATGGTAGAGATGTATTTGTCAAGGAGGAGATGAAATCAGATAGTTATAAGAAGATCAAACCATACAAGGGACTTGTAGGCCATTATAAGGAATTCGAATTTTATTCTGAGACGGAAAGTCATTGGAGAGTTTTGAGCAGAAGAGAGATTTAATCTGACTTAAATTTTAACATAATTACTACCTGCTATGTTGGAAAAGTTCTACACTGGGGCTCATGGTGGGACTAGGGGAGGCATAGGGGACAAAGTTAGAAGCAGGGAAACCAGTTTAGGAGGCTGTGGCTATAAGCAATAATCCAGGCAAGAGATGCTGGTGGCCTGGACTAGGATAGTAGCAGTGGAAGTGGTGAGATGTGATTGGATTCTGGATACCTTTTGAAGGTAGAGCTTGAGAGGATTTGTTTCTGTATGGGTTGCGGGATGTGAGAGAACGTGAGTTAAAGATTATGCCAAGGGTTTTAGTCTGAACATCAGGTAGAATGGGTTTGTCATTCACTGAGATGGTAAAAGGAATCAAGAGTTAGGTTTTGAATGTGTAAATTTTGAGATTCTTATTAGAATCCAAGTGGAAAGTTTGAGCAAGCAACTGGATATAAAAAGTTGGAATTCAGTGGTGGGAATCTGTGCTAGAAATATAAAATTGGGACTTGCCAGAATATGGGTGGTATTTAAAGCCATGAGACAAAAAGGGATCATCAGGGGAGTAACCAGCAGTGGAAACTGGGGAGTGGCCGGGAAGGTAGGAAGAACCGAAAGAAAGAATGGGATTTTCAGGTGCAGGCAAAAGTAATTTGGTGTTAGTCATGTTGAGTTTGTATTGTCAACAAGTCCTTTCCCTTGAGGGCTGCTGAGAGTAGCTAGTGGAGTTTACAGCTTGATTTATGAGGCCTAACCGAAGATCCAGGGACAAAAGGCACAGTTCACTATACTGGCCTTTTTTTTGCTTTCCTCTCCCCAAAATTTGAAGTATCAAAACAACTTTTTCTATACATCTGAGATAGTACCTGCTGATTTTGGCTCTTATTCTGAGGGAGAGAGTACAAAATGAAACTATGTCAGGGAAATAGAGCCAGTGTATGGTGATTTCTTATTTACAAAATTTAGCCATTGAAGGGGATGGGGAAGTAACTTGAGGGCCTGTTGTATGCCAAGTTCTTGTGCGAAGTGCTTTACATGGCATGGTGTCATAATCTCAGAGAATTTCTAGCCCATGGTGACAGAGCTACTAAACTAAGGATCAGAGTAAGTAACTAGAGTGATTCCAGCCCTGCTTTTTATAATACCATGCTGGGGAAACCTATTACTTTTAAAGGCAAGAGGAAATGGGCCCGTGGAGTAGTGGAAGCTACAGAGTGGCTGAAATTGCTGAGTAAATGAGTTAACTGAAGGAGCAGGGGTCAAAGGGAAGTGGAAAAGGATGCGATTGAAGGCAAAAGTAGATACAAGCCTTGAAAAACAAAAGACATCTTCCTCTAAGATACAAGGGAAGGAGAAGAGTATGAGAGTGGAGATAGATAAAGTGAAGGGGAGATGATTTTTTGAGATGATTATGATCTTAGATAAATAGAAGATAAGATCATCTTCCCAGAAAGAAGTGGGATAGGAACCTCAGAAGAGCAGAGTCTATTAGGAAGAGCTTTTGGGGTAAATATTTCTTTGAGCATAGACAAAGAAGTAAAAGGGGGCACAATCAACATTCTTTAACTGTTAAGAATAGGGGAAATTACTTCCAGCTGGGGAAGGGAAGGTTTCTCAGAAGAGGTGACATTTATGTTGGCCTTGAAGAATGAGTAGGATTATGGTAAGCTGATATCTGGAAAGAAGTTTATTTCAGGTTTCAGAGAGCTGGGTGCCACTGCCATGAATAGTATACTGTTCTGTTTAATGTTATCAGAGTGAGTATCTCAGTTATATCTCATCTACCTCAGGTCTCAGTCCACACTGAGGAACAGGAAATGTTCTTGCAGGAGATGGTAGCTCTAAGAACAGAACAAGAACCCAGAATGTCCCTCCCGTCTGTGAAAGCCCAGCTAAAGTGTGAATCTCCAGAACTTGAAGCCCAGAAGAAGCAAGGTAAAGAAGAAAGACCCACCTTGGGAGGAAGGGGAAGATGGGGCTAACACAGGGCACTGGGGCTGTTTTGTACTTTGTGCTGTTTCTGATCATTAAAGTCAGGAAAATCTCTCTAGAAATCTGACGGCTCATGTGTAGACCTCAGGCAGCCTGGTTTGTCACTCTACAGCTCTTTTTTTCTCTCTATATTAATATTTTAAAAATTCTGCCTTTATTTTATTTGAAATCACTTAGTTTAGTTCTTCTGACAGTTATTTTCCTCTATACTGACCTCCCTGCTATTTTTAGCCTTTATCCTAGCAGACAATACCATTATCTTCCAGTTTGACTATCTCCTGCCTCCTTCACTTAAATAAACCTTTGCTCCATGATGTCTGCAGCTAACTCTCAGATGGTGCAGGGAAATATGTGTGTGTGTGTGTGTGTGTGTGTGTGTGTGTGTGTGTGTGTGTGTGTGTGTGTGTGTCTC